ATCTGAGTGTGAGTAGAATGGGGCCTGGACTTTTCTTTGTTGGGAGGTTATTTATTACTGATTCAATCTCATTGCTTGGGGCCTGGACTTTTCTTTGTTGGGAGGTTATTTATTACTGATTCAATCTCATTGCTTGGGGCCTGGACTTTTCTTTGTTGGGAGGTTATTTATTACTGATTCAATCTCATTGCTTGGGGCCTGGACTTTTCTTTGTTGGGAGGTTATTTATTACTGATTCAATCTCATTGCTTGTTACAGGTCTATTTAGGCTTTCTATGCCCTCCTGAGTCAATCTTGGTAAATTATATGTGTCCAGGAATTTGTCCATGTCATCCAGGTTTTCTTCTTTGTTGCCATAGAGTCATCATAGTATCCTCTAGTGGTATTTTGTATTTCTGTTATGTCTGTTGTAATGTTGCCTGATTCATTATGGATTTGACTTATCTGGTTCCTTTCTGTCTTCTTAATTAGTCTGGCTAATGGTGTGTCAATCTTGTTTATCTTTTCAAAGAACTAGCTTTTGCTTTAATTTATTTTCTGTATAGTTTGCTTATTTTCTATTTCATTAATTTCTCCTCAAATCTGTATTATTTCTTTTCTCCTGGAATTTTTTTTCGATTTTTTTTGTTGTTGTTCTTTTTCTAATTCCCTGAGGCATGATGTTAGGTTGTCCTTTTGACACCTTCCCATCTTTTTCTTATGTGCACTAATTGCTATCAACTTCCCTCTTATGACTGCTTTTGCAGTATCTCGTAGATTATGAAACTCGTGTACTCATTTTCATTAGTTTCCATGAGTCTTTTGATTTTTGTCTTAATCTTTGCAGTAGTCATGGAGTCATTCACAAGTATGTTATTTGGTTTCCATGTATTTGTATATTTTCGAGGGCTTTTGCTGAGATTAATATCAAGTATAATTCTATCATGGTCGGAGAAGGTGCTGGATATACTTTCTATGCCTTTGAATCTGTAAAGATTGGTGTTGTGCCCTATCATGTGATCAGTCTTTGAGAAAGTACTATGTGGGGCTGAGAATAATGTATATTTTGTGTTTTCTGGGTGGAAAGTTCTATAGATGTCTGTCAAGTCCATCTGATTTATGGTATCATTGAGGTCCTGAATCTCTTTGCTTATTTTTTTTGTCTCATTGACTTGTCTAAAGGAGATAATGTGGTGTTGCGAGCTCCAACAATTATAGTGTTATGCTCAATCTCTCCTTTTAGATCTAGCAGTCTTTCCTTTACATATTTGGGTGGAGAAGTCTGGAAATATCGATAATAACATTGAATGTCAATGGATTAAATTCTTCAATCAAGAGACACAGACTGGCTGAATGGATTAAAAATCAGAAACCTTCCATGTGCAGCCTACAAGAAATTAATCTCATGGATAAAGACATACATAGACTAAAAGTGAAGCGCTGGAAAAAGATTTTCCATGCAAATGGAAACCAAAAAAGACCAGTTGTTGCTGTACTGATTTTGGGCAAAATAGGCTTCAAGACAAAAACTGTCAGAAAAGACAAAGAAGGACATATAGTAATAAAAGGGCCAATTCACCAAGATATAACACTTATAAATATCAGAAGTATTTATTTTTATACATGGGGCGATTAAAAGGAGAGCATAGTCTAAGAAAAGGAGAGCATAGGTTCTACTATAGGCAGAACCTCAATTACCACCAACCATGGGGCATGCAGTACTTAAAACTTGAGAAATATCTTATGATGCCAGGATCTGTACACTCTTCACATAGAAACTCCAATTCAGATGCCCCTGAGTCAGTGATTTATAAAACATAAATAACTAATAACTGAAATTCAACTTTGAGGTCAGAAAAAGCTTCATATTGATCTAAACATCATTAGCATGTCTAATTGAATTAAAAGCCAAATACTGTATGGGTTAAGAAATATTTTTAATGTTGTGTTTTAGGTGGAGCTTGCTAAGGAAGAAAAGTGTGAATTTTTGCCTTTCCTATCCCCACGGAAGGTTATAGTAAAAGGTGGGAGAATCGTTGCTATGCAGTTTGTCCGGACAGAGCAGGATGAAACTGGAAAATGGAAGGAAGATGAAGAGCAGATTGTCCATCTGAAAGCTGACGTGGTCATCAGTGCCTTTGGCTCAGTTCTGAGTGATCCTAAAGGTAGAGTGCCTGGGAGCTGAAATGTGTTGTGCAGTTGTCTGCTATTTTTGCGTCTAAGAGTTTCCAACATTCAGGGAATTGTTTTTCACTTTAACATTCATTTTCTTCTTCTGGTATGAAATACAAAAAAGACTTAGACTCATTTAAAGCTTATACAGGATTACATTAAAAGTGTGATAAGCAAAAAGATCATTAATCCCCCTTTTACTCTGAATAACCAAAAACACATATTCTACTTTATAATAATGTTTGCCATGTTTCCTGGAAGATGTGACAGAGAAAGTAGAACATCCGGTCTTCAGTATTCAGTCAAATTAGAATCTAATTCAGACAAATTAGAATCTAATGAAAAGTCAAAAATAGAATTCATGTTTATTGTTATCCTCGTGCTAAACATCACTATAAGCATCAAAATTATCCAATTAGAAAGTCTGAATTCCTGTTATTTCATCTGAGTAGCATAAATTGACATGCTAAGGAAGAACAAACTACTTTAAAAAGTGATAGTGAAATAAGGAAATGTTTATATCCCATTTGAACTGGTGAATTAAGACTACTTTTTATTGGGACCAGCAGTTAGTGTAATGGCTATGCACTGGACTCCCATGTAGTCGACCACAGTTGGAGTCCCAGACTTGGTGGCTTAAAACTCACGCCAGGTGTGTGTGCATGTGTGCCCAAGATCCCAAGAGGAGAATGGATGATAAGAGATTGTGGCGTGGCCATCCACCCCCTGGTGGCCATCCCCCCTGGTGGGCAATTTCTGTCTCCTGTCTCTATCTGTCTTTCTGGTGAGCACACGCACCCTGTAGAAAAAAAAAAGTCTCAAAAAAAAAAAAAAAAGATTTGGCAATTAACTCTTCTATTTGCTGAAAGGAAAATAAAAGTTTCTGTAAGTCAGAGATTTATTAAGAACAACAATAACAAAAAAAAAATTCTGAACCAGACAATTCTTGCCAATGATTTTCACTATATCCATGCTAAAATTACATGTTTTTGTCTAAAATAGGAAGCGCTACAGGCATGCAAATATATATTTTTATGTAGCGGATAAGTTAAAAATTTAGCCAATCATCAGGATAGTTTATCTACAGGACATTAAGCATCTTGGTATTTGAAAACATCCAGATGTTTAATGTCATCAAGATTAATGTTTTCAAAGAGCTAGATGATGGCCTGAATTTGTCACTTTACGTCTAGATGTTTATATGATATGTAGAAGCAGTCACAGTATGGTTTGTTTATTCATTAACTGGATTCAGAAAGAAAAAAGTACAATGTGTAAATTGTATTCTATTATCTTAAAAAAACCCAAACAAAACAGACTTATTATCCCACATATCACCAAAATTGAGTGAAATGTGGAATCATGTTTAACTAGTGATTCTGTTGATGGCTTACCATCAAAAAATAATTTAGCTTACTTATGCAAATTTTATTCCATGACTGGTAACCCTCAATATTAAGAAAAATGTATCTTTTCCTAAACAAACCTAAGTGTTAATAGTTGTGACTTAGATCATTCAAAACGGCTTTTGCAGTCTCCAGTGTGATGTTGGCAACCAGTTTGTGTGTGTGTGTGTGTGTGTGTGTATATTTGTATTTGTGTCTATATATGTGGCAAGATTTAATTTAATATTTAAACTATGAAGTAGAAAAAAATTTCATCTATTTGAGTCTATTGACAACGTCATTCCAGAATGTATTTGTGTATTTTACTCCAGAATTTTCTTGTGTGTGTTTCTTTCTGTGCTGCACATGTACTACTCCATATGCATTTAGAGACTTCAAGGAAAAAATGGTTCTCTTCTATGCCTCCCCCCCCACCTCTTGATTTGAAATAACAAACTGCCTCGAGAAATTACCCTTAAATAGAATTGCTTGTTTTACCAGAGCCCCTCAATGTTTACATTAATAAGAAGTTACTTTGCAAGTGAGAAGCGAGCTGGAAGAGCTGAAATGTTAATTAGCACATGCCTCTACTCCCATCCAAATATTTTCAACACTGTTTTTTCGATGGGAAACATTAAGGAGTAAAGGAAATTGGTATTTGTTAGATAATCAAGAAGATCTTACCCAAATGGCATTTAAAATCTTAATAATTTAGGTCAGACCTCTTTTATATGTGCATACATATTCATGGTAAAAATCTATTTACTGGAAACAAGTTGCCCATTTAGGTAAGAAGAGAGATATTCATGTTATCCATCTTCTACTTTAAATCTTGTCCCATCCTAATACCTATGTGATAAAATTTTTGTGTAAAACCTATGTGATTATCTCGTATATGATACTTTTATGATTTAACATATTTTTCTGGAACATCTCTCTTAGCAATTTTAACCTCCCTTTACACCTTTTCCCCTTCTCTCTTCTAAGGTAGCATGGATTCCAATGAACTGAATACCATAGTGGTATTTTTTCAGTTCTTCTTCTACTTTCTGTATTTGACAATGCTAAATATTTCTTTCTGTTGGAAATGTTCTCCTCTAAGTCATTTAAGACTTTTAAGGCTTAGCTTCTTTAACTATGTAAAAATAAGTATGATAATACCTTCTTTTCCTACCTCTTAGGACTGTTGTGAGAATTAAAATGAAATAATGTGAAATACTTTGGAAATGAAAGTATAACACAATAGTGTTTATGACACTATATTTTATTGGTTTTCCTTTTAACTGTATTTTTTTCCAAGCATATCAGTGACAATTTCTTCTTGAATCTTACACTTCACAGTACTTTCCAAAGTTTAGACATTGCCATGCTCTCTTCTTAAATAGTTACTCATTCAGTGAACCAATTGTCATTCATTCATTTATTCAAACACACGTGCATTCCTCAAAAAATATTAATGAACTTCTGTATGCCGGAGAGTTGCTAGACTTATATTAGGCACTATTTCACTTCTGTGTAAAAATGACTTTGAAAGAGAGTTCTTCTGTCCTCAAATCTCAGAAGACTTCCTTTCATTACATATTTACATTCATGTATGTGATGAACCTTTTCCAGGTATCTGGTGAATGCCAAATGCCAAACTGTTCTCTGGAGAGAATAAAGATGAATGAGTTATTCCTTGTACTTTAACACCTCACCAACTGGGGGGTGAAGGCGGACTTTAAAATAATTATACTAAAAAGTAAAGAGTATATTAAGAGAGTTATTTATGAAGTAAGGAAAATTCATTTCATTAGAGTCTCCTAAAACAGATCTCTTCCCAACTATGCTATTATTGTACATGGTACAGTAGCTCTTCCCATTGCCAAAGTTTAAATTCTGGATTCACTTTTTAATTTCAATCTTTCTTTTTATTAAATTCACCAGTTACCATATAAGATAAGATAAAGCTTCCAATCCTTAGCACTTAAGAACTTCAATAGATGGCCTTATTTATGTAATAACCACCGCCCCACCGCCCCTCTCAGGCTTATCCACGCAGGATATATTCCAAGACTCCAGTGGATGTCTGAAACTCTGCCTAGTACTGAATCCTATAGATGATATGATTTGTGTGTGTGTGTTGTTGTTGTTGCTGTTTTAGAAGTTTTTGCCTTAAGGCACATGAGCTCCATGGAGAGAGAGAGAAACAGAGATAGTGATGAGAGAGTCAGAATTATCCTCTGGGGGACTGGTCATGCCACAATCCCCTTTTTTTCATTCTGCTCTCAGGATCTTGGGCACACACATATACATGCCCGGCCTGAGTTTTAAGCCTTCTGGTCTGGGACTCAAACTGTAGTGGCCATGAGGGTGTCCAGTGACATAACTGCTATGCCATCTGCTGGCCTGGTATGATTTTTCTAAAAATGCATATGTATGGTAAAGTTAAATTCATAAATTAGACATCAGAAGAGATTAACAACAAGTAATAATAAAATAGAGCAATTAAAGAATACACTACCATAAAAGTTTTATGACTGTTGCTGTCTTTCTTACTGTCTTGCTTTCTCTCTCTCTTGCTGTCTTTCTGTCAAACTATCAGACCATGGTTGATCAAGGGTAACTAAAACTGCATAAAACTAAACCATGGAAAAGAGGAAACTACTGTGGATCCAATTTTGTTTTCCACTATTCCGTGAATTTATTCCTTCCAGTATCTAGCACAGGGTAGATTACATAGTGGTAGTTCAATATTTTTGGTGAATGTCATATATATATGAGATACCATATGTATATACATGATACCATATGTATACATACACACACATGTATGTATAAGTATATGAGATATACACATCCTGACAAATTCAAGGAATGAGATCAGTTTGATAGAGTACATGTAAAGTACGGTGATGATTTACACTGAGCAGTCTCTGATTATGATGCTATGAAGATTGTGTAGGAATAAAAGCTTTTGAAAATCAGAACTTTACTAGGGCTTTGGAGAATCTTTCAGCTCATCTCTGTACATAGGTAAAGGAAATGCTCTGACATTTATGATTTCTCACATGAGAAGATGTTTCATGTATTTGGTTCATTTCATTTGCAGAGTGCACTGTTTATAATTGTATCATATATTTAAAATATCTTATTATCAATTTTAATTTTTTATGACATTGAAAGGAATTGTCCCTCAGTTGATTCTTAGTTGTTAGAAATGTTTGAGTTTCCACCAATCAGATATTTAAAACATGAAGCATTTGAAAATGACTTTGGTGTTTTTCATTTAAAAATGGTGACATTAAACCAAATATTTTGTTTGTTGTAGATGACTGCTTGCTTTTATTTTAAGAAGGGAAAAAAAGTATTTTTTAGGATTCTAAGTTTGAAATTTAAGCGCTTGAACATTATGGAATGATATAACTAAGATTAAAAACCTATGTTTTTGGAAAGAAGAAAATAAAGATAAATGATGACAATAAAATGGATTCAGCATTATGCTGCCCAGTATTACAAATGACAAAATGACTGAGCTCTTTGGGAATAGCCAGAGAATAGATGGCCTTTTCCTAATAGAGTTTAACATTTCACCCAGTACTTGCTTGCAGGTTTTCTTTTCTTTTCTT